TTTAAAGAAAGTGCAAGGGCAAAATGGGAAACTATATATAATTTAATGTTATATCAAGGATTGAAGAGTGAAACCCTAGCCACTCTTCAACCCATTTTCACGGCACTTCTCCTCCAAATCCTCTCAATTTCTTCACTTCTTTTTTCAAAAGAAATTCATAGATCTTGGGTATTTTTGAATGGATTTTCAATCCAAGCATCTATAGGTAAGATCCTTGCACTAAGAAATGATTTTTAATTTTTAAAGTGTTGATTTTGATGGTTTATGCTCATAGGATTTAAGAGGAAGAGAGTTTGAGCAAGGAAGATTCTTAAAGGGTTGAATTTGCTCATATCAAAGGTAAGTAAAGTTATGTTGTGTAGACAATTTTCTTTATGTATATATTTGTGTTATATGTAGAATTGTTGATGGATTTGGTGTTGAATAATAATTGGAACATATCCATGAGAAGTTGGGGTGGTGTATGTGATACTTGATGAATGTTTGGTTGAGATTTGGAAGAGTTGAAGTGAAAATTTTGAAATGTGTATTTTGGGCAGATTTGGCGTTAGTTATGGAGGAGTTTATGCCAAATTTTTGGTGACCTAAAATAAAGAAAGAAGTGTAGCCAAATTAGTGTTAATTTGTGCACATGAATTATTTGATGAAATGTCAAAGAGAAGTGCATGTATGAGTATGATTATGTGTTACTTTGGAATGAGTTTGTAGATGGTAGAGAATGACATGTTTGCATTCCATAATGCATAATTGCATTTAAACATGAGAAATTAAAAAGAATTATAAGCATAAAACCATCAACATGCATACATATTCATAAGAGCAGGAAAAAGCACTAAAATGTATTAAAGAGAAAATAGAAAGAAATGAGAATATTAAAGATAGTCAAATCTGAATTTTTTTACTTAAAAAAGTGTAAAAAGATAAAAAGAAGAGAAGGTTGTTGCGATGGGGAGCCGTGAGTGACATAGTCCCACATGCACGCCGCCTTTAGTGAGCGGCCTCATAATTCAGAAAGAAGAATTGTACAGTTCGTTAGAAGTGCGTGTGGATGAGGACTGTACCCAGAATTAGAGAATTCACTCACACGGTCAAGGCTCCAAATCCATACTTCAACTGAGTCTGATCGGCAAGAAAAGAAAGAATAGAAAGAAAGAAAGAAAGAAAGAAAGAATAGAAAAGAAAGAAAGAAAGAATAGGAAAAAAAAAAAAAAAGAGAAAAGAAAGAATAGAAAGAAAGAAAAGAAAGAATAGAAAGAACGAAATAAAGAAAAAGAAACAGAAAACAGAATAAGAAAAATAGAAAAGAAAATGCATAATTTATGCATTTGTGCATTTGCATCATGAATATGCATAATACCATGCTCATTATCATGAGTAGTAAAAAATTAGAAAATTGAGGGAAAAACAGATAAAGAATGAGAAAGAATAGAGGAAGAACAGAGAAAGAACAGAGAGAAGAACAGAGAAAGAATAGAGAATAATCGGGAAATACGAAGTAAGGAAATAAAATTTGGAATTTAAGCAATGGAAAGAGAAGGGTAGCATAGTGGGTTTACTTACTAAACAATTAGTGATCACTCCGTTGTTTTCAATGTTTTTGCAAGTAATAGGTGAGTTGCGGTCGCTCGTAACGTCATGCAATGGAAGGGTTGGGCTACACTGTCGAGTTGCTATTTTTTATTATACTTTGTACATATTTGTATATAAAGAAAAATTAAATATGGGCCCATACTTTATTACTCGTTTATATGTGTATTTATATATATATATATATATTTTTTTAATGAGTTTTATTAATTATTTTATGAATATACTAGCTAGAAAGAAAGTATTACACTATAATAACTACGGTCTAACCACGGGTCAATCTGGGTGAATCATTAATCCCGGTTTTTTGCTTAACTTGACCCAACTCAATGGCCGGTTCCCGGTCGAACTGGTTAAATCGACCGGGCCGGAGCGGGTTTTAAAACATCTGTTTTGTATATTGAATTGTTGGGGAAATTGATGGGATCGCAGAAAGGATGGTGAAAACTGGAGTCCTTTGGTGGCCATCAACTCGGCAAGCCGTTAGCGTGGCCAAATCCACGTCGATTTGGCCGGATGCGATTTGACCGGAATCGCACCCGACCAGATGCGATTCGATCGAAATCGCATCTAGCTAGCCCAAATTACTACCAATTTCTATTTGTCGGCGCAATACCAAGTCAGATCTAGTGCTGTGTGGCTTCACCAGCAAAAAGCAAGCTTACCTGCCGTGAAAAGCTTGTTGAAACCAACTTTTCATGGTGGCTTTGTTTCATACTTTGGCCGTTGAAAACCTAAACAAGAACCACCCAATACAGCAATCACCACCCCCACAAACCACTACAAATTTCAAACACCTCCAATCTAAATCAATAATCCATTAAACAATTTAATCACACAAAACAAAACAAAACACAAATTACATACTATCAATCAATGATTGAACGATCAAAAATCGAGAAGGGAAAAAAAAAAAATTCAAACTCTCCATGTGATGTTCTCTTAGTTTGTGCAAGGGTGAATGTGTTTTGTTTGTCTTTATTCTTCAAGTCTCCAGTGGCTTGTTCTCCAAATTTTGAATGTCAAAAACCATTAAATTTTGTTTTTTTTTTTTCCATAATTCAATTCGGGAATGAGACAATACAACCCAATTTCCAGAATTCACAAATAAAAATACAACAGCCGTTGAATGTTTATTTGGGGCGGCGGGGTGGGGCAGAAAGATAAAAGGGGTTACGCAAGTTTTTTTATTTTTTTAAAAAATTGATTTTTATAATAAACTGATTTTTATAAATAATGAATTTATCATCCAATCCTTTAAAGTTGAAGGACAGATTTCAAACGATGAGTGAAAAATGGTTTTTTTTTTTTTTTTTTCAGACTTTTTAGGTGAGATAATTACTTACGCCAAACCTTGGGTGGGAAATTGTCATTCGCCCTTCATGTTATTAAGAAGTTTCAAAATGTAAAATTAGTTGCTTAAAATTTTACAAACAATAAAGATTGGGTTGTTTCAAATTTACAAATTTTCTCTCATAACCTCGATGCGATAACTCGTAATTAGATGTAAAACTTATAACAAGCATATAAGACTCCTTTACAAATTGTTTGATTACGAATTGTCGCATTGAGAATGACAAGAAAAAGTTTAAAAGATTGAATTGTAAGTATAATATTACCTTTTACACACAAATCAATGAAAAATCAAATTATAAACCCTCTTACTCTCTTTCGTTTTCTATACCAAAGTCTTCTTTAAGTGAATTTATTATCATTAATTAATTGTGATTGTTCTCCCTCTCTCTAGAATATCCTTTATACAATATACACTTACCCTTTGTAGTTTGTTCCTTTCAATTTCCAACCAAGTGTTTATTATTAAACATTAAATAACTTATAATAATCACATCTTACATTGGATTATATTTTAATGAAATTATTGACCCACCACTATTGGTTCCAACTTGTGTGAACATTTAAATATGATGTTTAATTGTCCCTTTTTACTAGTTAATTAAAATAATAAAATCTTAGTGGATCGAAGTGTTGTTGTTGCTACACGTTTGAGCCACCACGATCATCATCCAATAAATTAATAAAATTAAAGCATCAAATGTGACATTCCTTTATTGGAGAAGGAAACGTGTACGGTGGATGCACAACATTTCATCACATTTTATGATATGAATTTTTTTTTTTTTTTTTTTTTCCGAATTGTCTAGGTTGACTTTCTGAGAATTGGTCAGATTGGAGTTAGCTAAATATAATGTTGAGTTTTTATACGACACGTGTAAGTCTCATTAGAATTTGTCCACTTTAATTTCTTTTTTTAATTAAAAGTTTATCAAATTTCAATAAATTAATCCTCTTGGTGACATTAATGATTGAGAATAAACGAACCACAAAGAAGAAAAATGGCTGCTATATTATCATTGCCGTATACACTTCCTGAGGGCATGATTAAAAGAGAGATTATATTATATAGTATTACATAATTGATTCGATACTAAAATTATGTGACTATCATATGATGCATTGCTTTTGACAATTATTTTTCTTCTTAATTTATTAAAATTATTGCTGTTAAGTTTTGACCTCTAATTATGTTCATATAATCAATTGATACAGTGAATGAGAAAAGTCGTTGATTTTAGTTGTTTATTTTGTGGGTTGGCCATAAACTAGCGTGGATAAACTTAAGATTTTTTGATAATGTAATACGAATAACTTATCATGTATAGATTGTTAGATTAATTGATTTACATATTTATAAAGATATATATCCATTGAGACACGAAGGATACTGATGATCTAATCAATTGCAGAATCACTATAAATTAAATTATCCTCGAACAAATATAATTTTTTGATGCAATCCCTTAAATTCAATAGATTGTTAAATTATTGCATAAAATTATGAAATTTTATTTATTTATTTATAAGGTCTAAACTTAATTTTTTACTTGAATAATAGTGAATATAAGCATCTCAAAAATAAGTTCACTAACAATATTAATATAGTAATTAATAAGATAAATAAAATTACGTATATGAATTCGGAAAATCTTTTAGTTATCGGAGTTAGTTTAACTATACTCAAAGGATTTTGTCTTTGAATCACAGGAGAGACCATTATTGACTTTACCTAAAAGATTAGGTATATGAATTCGGAAATCTCCAAATAAGGAATTAGTCACTTAGAATTAATTAATTATCAACCGATGAGGTAGTCGAATCACAAATGTATTTGATTTGCTTAGTCTTACCAAGAAAAACTTGCTAAAAAAAAAACAAAACTAATAAACCAAATTATCTGAATAAATAGAACCAAAATTCTCCACACACGCAAGGGCATAACTGATATTGACGTCCCTCCACCTTCGCTCCTTCTCTCTTTTATAATCTCCATGCTCATGTATATATATGTGTAATATCCCACTTCTTTTGTTATCATCTTCGTCCATTCTTAAAATATTCAAACAACATTAAGGAGATTACTTCTCATTCTTTATATAGGAATGAAGATAAAACGACACTAGTTTAAAGAATTGCATGCTTTCTTCAGATTTTTCTACAGGTGATTCATTTCTCTCCCCCATCTCTTCCTCTTTTCCTCTCGTATTCTGTTTGGTTCTCGAGAAAATGCATATGCATCAGCAAGAAAGGCAAAGGTTCAGCCTTGGAAAGTCCTAGTTTTTTTTTTTTCTCTCCTCTCCTTAAGAGCATGCAAATGAGACCTTTATGATTTACTGATTTTTATTCAACAAATAATACGCAATCACCAGTTGCAGTATTCCTCTGTTTTACCGCTATTATGTGGTTATCTCGGTGAAGAGATTAAAGAACCAACCGACCTGCGTTGAATAGGGACATTACTGTCTTTTGAAACACATTGCATGCAAATTTCCCATTTGTTTTGCAAAGTTTCAACCGGAAAGACAATAATGCCCCATCCTTTGTCAACCTTTTACGGTCATAGCACCGCCATGAATTTTGTTTTTTTTTGCCATTCTCATTCGGCAGTCGCATTTTTCCTCCTGTCAGCTGTCAACTTTTCAAAAGAGATCCGCGGAATCCTGAATACACGTTTTACTGATCTAAATTTTTTATTTTGTCGTATTAGACGATGAGATGCAATTTGGATTTTATTATATTAATATTATACACTTTGGTCAAAATCTTTCCTTGTTTGGTTGCCGTGAAATTTGAATGAATCAAAATGTTGGCAGTAATGGGAATATCCAATTTTAGGCCCTCAACCAATGCTGGTGTTACATTTTTCAATTAACTTTACGCCACCAATATTGGATTGAGTGTAATTGTGTAAATGCTGATAGTAATGATTTCCAAAGTTGAAAAAAGTTACCTTGTACTTATTTTCAAATTTTTATTTATCTGGATTTTTGAATTATAATAATCTTGCAAAAAATGATTGGACACTGAAATTTCAAGGAAGTCAATTATGTCAATTCATCAACTTAAGTCTTCTGAGAGTTAACCAATTTTTCTTTCTTCTGGGCTTTCTTAATCTTGGACAGAAAGTCATGTGATGTTCATTATTTTGCAGGACCTAGAAAGTGCTGAAATAGCGAACTATTGTTGCTTCAAGAGTCGGGAGTAATCACGAAGTCGGTGCAAAATGGCTGGAGATTCAGAGACATGTAAGGCAATGAAGGCTACATCAAATGGGGTGTTTCAGGGTGATAATCCTCTTGATTATGCACTTCCTCTTGCCATTCTTCAAATATGCCTTGTGGTTACGCTCACACGCATTCTCGCTGTAATTCTAAGGCCTCTTCGACAACCTCGTGTCATTGCAGAGATTGTTGTAAGTTCTTCTCCTCCTTCTTTTCTAAGTTCTATTTTTGCAGTTTTCATCTAAATTTAGTAAATCTTTTTACACTTTAAAAAATGTTCTACCTAAACTCTCTGACTTTTTCTTTTTCTTTTAGATCTTTCTGCAATATTCTTCAGAATCTCTAGTTTAATTCTTCTTTTTTATGGATGATAAAAAAAATTTGGCAACTAATCTATGTATCCAGAGAAGATTATGATATTATTAGTTTATGGTAGAATCTTATGTCAGCATATGTAATTGTGTTTGAACTCATAATGCATGATTATTTTATCTGGGAAAGATTGATCTTTGATATATTAAATTTTCAGTCAGAACTGGGCAGGTAAGATAATTAATAATAAACCAGACTAAAAAATGTGTTTATCTGTTAATTAATGACAAATTTAGAAACTTGAAAGTTGATCTTTAAAGATGACTTATGAATATGAAGGGAGTTTAGTGGAGAATATGCCATTACTACGTTATCTTCACCATTTTTTAGTTCTCATGTGGGACAGATGTATAAATATTAAAAAAAGTCTATTAAAAAAAAAAAAAAAAAAAAAAAAAGAGAATGAATGGCCTAGATTTTGTTTAAAGTCGCTCCGATTTTGAGTTTTCCGTGAACAAAGAAGATCATAGTGTACTTTTTGATTTCTTTACGCAGGGAGGAATATTGCTTGGCCCTTCAGCTTTGGGTAGGAACAAGGTGTATATGAATGCAATTTTTCCTGCCAGGAGTCAAACTGTGTTGGATACGTTAGCGAACCTTGGCCTCCTCTTCTTTCTGTTCCTTGTAGGCCTAGAATTAGATCCAAAGTCCCTTCGCCGGACTGGTAAAAAAGCTCTTAGCATAGCCCTGGGAGGCATTAGTCTACCTTTTGCATTGGGAATAGGAACCTCTTTTGCCCTCCGTGCGTCCATTTCTAAGGGTGTAAATGGACCTGCATTTCTTATATTCATGGGGGTGGCCTTTTCTATTACTGCATTTCCAGTCCTGGCCCGTATTTTAGCTGAACTCAAGCTTTTAACTACTGATGTTGGGCGTATGGCCATGTCAGCTGCGGCTGTTAATGACGTAGCCGCCTGGATTTTACTTGCTCTTGCCATTGCTCTCTCAGGAACTGGGCGTTCTCCCCTTGTATCGTTATGGGTTCTATTGTGCGGGTGTGCTTTTGTCTTAATTTGCACATTCATGGTCCCTCCAATCTTTAGATGGATCCAGAAGCGATGCCCCGAGGGAGAGCCTGTGGATGAATTGTATGTTTGTGCTACCCTGTCTATTGTTTTGCTAGCGGGATTTGTTACTGATGCCATTGGAATACATGCTCTCTTTGGGGCATTTATAATTGGAGTTTTGGTCCCAAAGGAAGGGGCATTTGTTGGTGCTCTGGTAGAAAAAGTTGAGGATCTTGTATCCGGTCTTTTCCTTCCATTGTACTTTGTATCAAGCGGATTGAAGACTGATATAGCCACAATTCATGGACTTCAGTCTTGGGGGTTCCTTGTTTTGGTTATAGTTACAGCATGTTTCGGAAAGATTATTGGCACTGTAGTAGTATCCATCTTATGCAAAGTGCCTGTGCGGGAGGCTCTTGCCCTAGGCTTCCTAATGAATACTAAAGGCTTGGTGGAACTCATTGTTCTCAACATTGGTAAAGACAGAAAGGTAAATTGCTTTTTCTATGTTAAAAATAGGAACTTGCAATTACATTTGCAATGCTTGGTTTCTGAATCTTAATTGTTTTATTCGACTGATATTTCAGGTATTGAATGATCAAACATTTGCAATCATGGTTCTGATGGCTGTCTTCACAACATTTATAACAACACCTTTAGTCATGGCGGTATATAAGCCAGAAAAAAGAACAATCAATGCCCTCTACCAGCACAAAACAGTAAAGAGAAAAGATCCAGATGTTCAGTTTAGGATTATGGCCTGTTTCTATGCTTCAAGAAACATACCCTCAATGATTAATCTGATTGAGGCTTCACGTGGGACTGAAAAGAAAGGAGGCCTCTGTGTTTACGCACTGCACCTCATGGAACTCTCGGAAAGGCCATCGGCAATACTTATGGTCCACAAGGCAAGAAAGAACGGAATACCCTTTTGGAACAAAGGAAAAAACTCAGATACTGAACAAGTTGTTGTTGCTTTCGAGGCTTTTAGACAACTAAGCCGTGTCTCTATCCGTCCAATGACAGCAATCTCACAGATGCATGATATACACGAAGACATTATCGGAAGTGCTGAAAGGAAACGAGCATCAATAATAATTCTCCCATTTCATAAACACCAGAGGCTCGATGGGTCCCTGGAGACTACTCGAACCGAATTTCGTTGGGTCAATAAGAAGGTTCTTGAGAGTGCTCCATGCTCAGTGGGGATTTTGGTTGACCGGGGGCTTGGTGGTAACACACATGTTTCAGCAAGCAATGTTTCTTCCGTTATGACGGTCTTGTTTTTCGGAGGAAACGATGATCAGGAAGCCCTTGCTTATGGTGCACGCATGGCTGAGCACCCAGGCATTAGTCTATCTATCATTCGTTTCCTTCCAAGCCCCGATATTTCCGGGGAGATTGAAACGCAAGACGAGTCCCATGTTTCGGAAGATGAGAGCTTTCTTGCTGAAGTTAAACAAAAATTTGCAACTATAGACTCATTTACTTATGTCGAAAGAGAAGTGAGAAACACTGCAGAAACTGTTGCCGTAGTTCATGAGTTCAATAAATGCCACATGTTTTTAGTGGGTCGAACGCCTGGGGGCCGGGCAGCAGCAGCGTTGAATATGAAGAGTGATTGCTCAGAACTTGGGCCGGTTGGGAGCATGCTGATAGCTCCAGATTTCTCAACTTCGGCTTCAGTGTTGGTAGTACAGCAATACACTGGCCATGGTCGAGTTGTTTCTGTATCAGGATCTATAACACAGGTAGCAGAGATGCCAAAGGAAGATATAGAATCTGGCTGATTACAAGCACTTTGGTATCAATAACTGAAGTGGATGGTTAAATTTCTGAATTGGTTTACTTACACAAGCTTCTGCCAGTAATTAAAGTGTTGTAGTTAGGTTCAGGTTATCTCAAGAACAGCAATCATGTGTTGTTACCATGGTACTAGGTTCAAAAATCAAACCCAACCCAGAAGGGAATTGTATATAATCAATTTCTTTTGGTCTAATTTTGATTATTTTGTTCTTAATCAAACCTTTATCATCTTTTAAGCTATGTTTCAAAGTCCAATCCGTTGTGAGACCTGATAAAGTGACCGGGTCGCGGGTTGAAGCGGTGATGTTAGCAATAAAAGATGGACCAGAAAAGATGGACCTGGAAATTTTAAACCCCATGCATCTTTTTTTTTTTCTGATCAAGTGCATGGTCATTTGTATCAACCGCCTCCTCAAAGACCTCCTCTATATCTTTTGACTCATCAGAGCCCGTCTGAACCCTCTCCTCTACTTTCTCATCCCCAACCCCAACTTATACAGGCTTATCAACCCCATTTTCCATTTTCAATGGGGTAGCTTCAAAACCCTAGATTCAAGAAAAACCACCGAAACCCATTTAACCAAACAGATTAAAAATCAATTAAAACCCATTACAGCCATAAAAAACCAATCACAAAAACACCCACCACATCAAAACCCTATAACAATAATTCATCTCCGATTCAAAAACAATATGTACCTCAATAAAAAAACAGATTTTCTCTTTTCCCATAACTATTTATAATAATCAACTAAAAAACAACAGATCTTTAAAGCGTTTTCATATGTTTTCATTAAAGATTATGCAAGACTTATAATCAAGTCAGAAACTTTTCGGTCATTCAATAAAAAGTAAACATTTAAAACTAAAATTAGAAACATAACCCACCTAGAAAAGATGAACACTTTACCTGTATTTGTGTAGGTCTTCGATTTCGATGAAGAAGATTGGATTATGTTGACGTTTGATTTTGGACGTCAACGACTTGCATGTGTAAAGTGCTAAGAAAGTCTTAGAAATTACATGTGATGGATCTATAAAATTTGAATATGGAGCTGAGATTATATATGTTGCAGAAAACATAAATAATAAGCTAACAAGAGATGTTTTTATAGTGGTTCGGATGCTCAAACAAGTGACTCCTACATCCACTATTATTTTATTGATCTTTGACTATTTCTATGATATTGCCCGTAAGACATACAAAGATGAAGAAATACAGTGTTTACAAAGAGAAAGAATTGAGCTCAAACTATGGTTAGCTCTCATATGCCCAGGCCCAGCCTCCCTCTTCGGGAAGAGAAGTGCCAATTTATACACCTCTGAACACAATGTAAGGAGTGTTTTGCAAGTTGCCTTGACACATGGAAGACTCTCGTCCATTCATCTCTTGAAATGAGATAGGGTTGATATGAATATTTTTGAGTAGATATGGGCTTGGTAGTTAGTACAAAAAGACATTTATTGAGCTGACATAAGCGTGACTTTTGAGGCATAACAAATTAAGATGGAGGAAGTAAATTGAAGAAGATGAGGAAGTGTAAGCTTTACACTTTAGAGTGAAGAAGATGAAAATGGGAGTTGCCGCCCGACTGAAATGAGAATAATGAAATGAAGCTGCAATTTGGAGATGCAAATTTGCTGTAGGAATTAGGAATAGGTGTTTTTAAGGGATAGGGTAAACCCATCATTACTGAACCGGTTTAAGCAACGGCTCGATCGGACCTGCAGGTTGGCACTAGTCCGCCGGTCTGTTACCAGTCCAAAGCGATACTATTTTTGATTTTTATATTAAACCAGACCGGAGTCAAGGCAGACTCCCGGTTGAACTGACCAATTTGGTCTGGGTTTTAAAACAGTGTTTTCAAGTTAAAAGTTTTAATAACTAATCCGGGGTGAAACCGACAAAATGGTTGGGTCCCGAGTTGATTGGTTTAATTGGTTTGACCAGTGGGTCAAACTGGTGTCCAAAGGTTTGAAATCTAACAAAAACACTCTTGAAAATTCTATCGGTCCCTATAAGTTTAAAGTCTTGCAAAAACACCCCAAACACCATCGTCGGCGTTGACAACCCAAGGCAAATAGGGTCTGTTTTCGGCAATGACAACACTCCTTATCACCACAAATACACGCTCCTTAACCTCCTAACCAAAGCCCATCTCACCCCTCCTCCGTTCACCTTGCCAATCATCGACAATAGTTTTTGTGATTTCCAATCGATTTACTCATTGAAAATCACCTCTGTTGCCACCTTTCATTTTGGTAACTCGGACTTGCCTATCTCTCCCACGAAAAGCAACAAGTTGCTTAACTCTACTTCTTCTTTTTATTTATTTATTTTTTATTTGTTAAGTTACTCTTCTTCTTCCTCTCTGATAAATAGTAAAATTAGTAACTTGACTCGGTCAAGATCTCGGGTCCTGATTGAACCGGTTCAACCAATTGGGCTAGATTTTAAAACACTTCTTTTAACAACTCTCCACTACAAAACCATGTTTCAAGTGGGATTTGAAGATCATTATACTAAGTAATCAAAGCTGATAGTGCGCCAAGAATCTTTCCAACTACAGTTAAAGTGCCAATTTAAGGAATCATGAGATCTAACTCTGACACTAGAATAAAATATCCAGCAGCATCGTCTTCACCATTCAATTTTGTTCATTTGATGCTTGGGTTGGGTCACAATTTGCGGCCATATTTTATTAAATTAACTTTTCATCAGCAACTTAGAAGGCAACCAACATTTTCTACGTCTCTTCTACTTTTCTATGGGTCTGGATGAAGTTGACACCATTGAAATAAGGGAAAAAAGTAAAATAAAAGTAAGATGGGTTGTCACACAATTGATTTTATATAAACAGTATCTATTATTTTATTATAAATCATATCGGTCGTTATATAAGCTGACACCGTTAGAGCAAGAGAATATAAAATTATATTTTGAAACTTTTTAGATAAAAAAATTTGGGTAAAAAAAGATGTTTACTCTTTATTAATAGCAAACTTCAGGGACCAAAATGTAACTAATGGGGACTAAGATGTTATTAAAAATTTAACAAGATTAAAATGTTACTAGGTATGCTTTTTTTATTTACTGAAACCTGGCAAGAATTGCGGTATTAACTACAGCACAAGTAAAAGAAGTCAAGAAGATGGGCCCAGGATTAAAGAAAGAAAATTTGTAGACGTTTCTAAAATAACTGGGTTACCTCCCAGTTCCCAACTTCTTAAACACTGAAGGTGTAAGATCATTCATCATTTCCCTCTCTGTAGGGACTGCAGTGAAACTGCGATTTGGGTGAAATGGGTTTGAATACTACGCTAGGACAGACGTGTCCTTCTCCAATGAAGCCTACTTCAAATGGCTTACTACAGGGTGATAGTCCTCTTGATTTTGCACTTCCTCTTGCCAGTTTGCAAATATGTTTGGTGATTGTTCTCACAAGGGGTCTCGCTTTTCTTCTAAGACCATTAAGACAGCCACGCGTGGTTGCTGAGATTATTGTAAGTTTAAAGTTTTTTTCTTGTTTCATTACTGATAAGCAGAATGGTTTAAACTTTGCTTTGATATTACGTCTCTCACTTTGATGTGTTTTGATTGTTTTAATATTGACTTTGTAAGAATCCCATTTTTTGATTTTGTTTTCTGGGTGTTATCATGTGATTCAGCTCATATTATTATGAAACAGAAACTAGTAGGAATTGATAATATTAGAGAAAGACAACATCTTGTTAAAAACCTAGCACATTGTAATCTTGATTTTCACTTCAAAATATTTGTCTGTTGGCATACTGCTAGGAAACCTGAAATCCTTTACATGGGCTTCATCAATTTGATGTTTTTGTGTCTTGGAATCAATCTAACTTTTTAAAATCTAAGATTTTTCTGTGTTGCACATGTGTTCAGGGGGGAATTTTACTTGGACCATCAGTGCTGGGTCGAAGCAAGAGTTTTCTGCAAACTGTATTCCCATCCAAGAGTCTAACTGTGTTGGATACAATGGCAAATTTTGGCCTTATTTTCTTTATGTTCCTTGTGGGTTTAGAATTGAATCTTAAGTCTCTTCGTCAAACTGGGAAAAAGGCCCTTGGCATTGCTATTGCAGGAATTGGCCTTCCTTTTGCATTAGGAATTGGTACATCTTTTGTCCTCCGAGAAAGTATCTCTGAAGGCGTGGATGGTAGCTCATTCCTTGTATTCATGGGCGTGGCCCTTTCTATAACTGCTTTCCCTGTCTTAGCCCGTATTTTGGCTGAGCTGAAGCTTTTAACCACTGATGTTGGCAGAATGGCTATGTCAGCTGCGGCAGTTAACGATGTGGCTGCATGGATTCTACTTGCCCTTGCCATTGCCCTCTCTGGATCCAATCATTCTACTCTTGTTCCATTTTGGGTTTTACTGAGTGGGTGCACCTTTGTCGTTTGTTCAATAATCATTGTTCCACGGATTTTTAATTGGATGGCTCGACAATGCCATGAAGGTGAGCCAGTAAAGGAAACATATATTTGTGCTGCATTAGCTGCTGTTCTGGCTGCAGGGTTTCTCACTGATGCTATCGGAATTCATGCCATGTTTGGTGCTTTTGTGATTGGAGTGCTTATCCCCAAGGAAGGTCCATTTGCGGGTGTCCTTGTCGAAAAAGTGGAGGATCTTGTATCTAGCATATTTCTGCCACTTTACTTTGTTTCAAGTGGACTAAAGACGAACATAGCTACAATTGAAGGGCTCCAATCATGGGGCCTATTGGTTTTGGTTATTTTAACAGCATGTTTTGGAAAGATTGTTGGCACTATTGTGGTGTCTCTTTCTAGCAAAGTGCCTCTCCGTGAAGCTCTTGCACTGGGCTTTCTTATGAATACTAAAGGCTTGGTGGAATTAATTGTGCTCAACATTGGTAAAGATAGAAAGGTAATTTATGCTCTTACCATATTTTTATTAGGGTCGTTACCTTTTCTAAAGGATATAACGTGTTCTGTGTTTATATTTTCAGGTTCTGAATGATCAAGTATTTGCCATTATGGTTCTAATGGCTCTCTTCACTACATTTATCACTACACCTCTTGTTATGGCTGTATATAAGCCAGCTAGAAGGACAAGAGTTGTTGATTACAAGCATAGGACTATTGAAAGGAAAAATTCAAAAGCCCAGTTTCGGATTTTGGCCTGTTTCCATAGTGCAAGAAACATTCCATCAATGATTAATCTCTTTGAGGCATCTCGAGGGATTCGGAAATCTGAAGGAATTCGTGTATATGCTATGCACCTCATGGAGCTCTCTGAGAGGTCATCTGCTATCTTAAGGGTTCATAAGGCAAGAAAAAATGGTTTACCTTTTCTGAATAAGGGCAGACAATCAGATTCTGACCACATTGTAGTGGCATTTGAAGCTTTTCAGCAACTGAGCCAGGTTTCTGTAAGGCCAATGACTTCAATCTCTTCCATGGCTGACATGCATGAGGACATTTGCATCACTGCTGAGAGGAAGAAAGTTGCAATTATTATTCTTCCATTCCATAAGCACCAAAGGTTGGATGGTTCTCTGGAGATTACTCGATCTGATTTCCGATGGGTGAACCAAAAGGTCCTTGAGAATGCACCTTGTTCAGTTGGAATTCTAATTGATCGCGGGCTTGGCGGAACCGCTCATGTATCTGCAAGTAATGTTTCCTATTCTGTTGCAGTCCTTTTCTTTGGGGGCTGTGATGATCGCGAAGCCCTTGCTTATGGGGCTCGTATGGCTGAGCACCCTGGTATCAGTTTAGTGTTCATTCGCTTCTTACTGGAGCCTGAGACGACAGAGAATCTAGTTAGAGTTGATGAGGCTGAAAATTCCAGCTCCCAATTGAGGTCAACGGATGAAGAGGTTCTCTCTGAGTTTAGAACAAAAGTATCTCATGATCTCTCCATAGTATATGAAGAGAAAGTTGTGAGAAGTGCTGAAGAAACCATTTGTGTAATCCGTGAGGTAAGCCAAGGCTGCAATCTTTTGTTGGTGGGTCGAAAGCCTGAAGGTGAAGTAGCCTTAGCTTTAAATAAGAGAACTGATTGCCCAGAACTGGGACCTGTAGGGAGTTTATTGACTTCATCAGATTTTTCAACAACATCAGTATTGGTTATTCAACAGTATGGTGCTCTATTATCTTTAAATTTAGCTCCAGAGTCGCAGGAAGACTCGCCTGAAGACGAAGACTTGGAATCAAATTAGCTTGCTTCCTGTTAAATGGTTTGGATTTGAATTTTAACCATAGTTTGTTGTGATGGGTTGTACTACCAGATTGTTCCACTCACAAGAAATAATTATGGAATAAAAGGATTTCTTAAATCAGATATTCAATTATCACTTGGAATTTATTTGTCTTTAATATAATACGCCATTATGATTACCGGATCATATCATATGCCTATACTTATGGGATAAATCAAAGGTTATTGTTGTGCGGGAAATCCGAAGTTTAGGTTGGCTCAATTTGAAAGGAAGATATTCAAATTGACTTATAATCTAATTAAGGTAGCAGAAGATGATGTAACTTTCTAATTCTACGTATTTGAATCTTATCTCAACTCTATCATATAAATGAGTGTTATATAAATCCATCACAACTTGTTTTCCGGGGAGGCAAGGCAATTATTTTAGGAAAAGATTTATCATTTGTGATTCTCATTCAATAAGAGAAATAGTGAATACAGGCTCAAGATTCAAACTTGCCGAACCACTTTAAAATTGCCTCATGTCATTACTTGTATTTTCTCTTTAATTATTCAATTGCTGATTTTCATTAAATCACACGCACATCTATCCCAGTTTCAGTAGGGTCAATTGGAATTCTCCAGTTGGTGCAGATTTCTGTATCAACATTTTGGCGTTAGAAGGAAAACTTAATCACTTTGAGCTCTCTTTGTTTTTCCAGTAGTTGTTTTTTTTTTTTTTTCATCTTCCAACCGCAAAAAAATCAGCCATGGCTATAATCCATGTCACCAAATCAAACTCTAAAATTGAAGCCATTGACAGATGGGGAGTATTGAGCATTATAAAGTATGAGTCTGGCAAAGTGGTAAACATAAGAGTTATAGATCTTCGAGTAAGCTTTCTAACGGTTTAAGAATCATCCAAATCCGAGATCTGCAGCTCCAATCATTGTCAAGATATTGAAGTCTATCTTAGATCATGCGGCTAGATCTCTTAGATCGCGCAGATCTTCAGCTTCAGATAGTGCACCCAGATCTCCATGCTTTCTGATTGAGCTATACTCTCAGATCAAGCTCTCCATGTTTTTTGATTGAGTTATGCTTTTAGATCAAACTCTCCATGGTTTCTGATCGAGCTATACTCCCAGATCAAGCTCTCCGTGCTTTCTGAATGAGCTGTGCTCTCAAATCAAGCTCTCTATGCTTTTTGATCGAGCTGTGCTATCAAATCAAGCTCTCCATACTTTCCAATCGAGCTGTGCTCTTAGATCAAGCTCTCCATGCTTTACGATTGAGTTGTGCTCTCAGATCAAGCTCTTCATGTTTTCCAATCGAACTCCTCTTGCTCTTAGATTGAGCTCTTTACACTCTTTGATCGAGCTCTTTATGTTCTCAGATCGAGCACTTCATGCTCTCTGATTGAGCTCATAAGCTTGCTCATTCGCTTGAGATCACGTGTTCAAGATCTCTCAGATTGCGCCAGACAGAATTCAAGCTCTTCAGTTTGAGATTGCAGCCTATAGTGCTACAACCATCCATATCAAAGAAATGAGTTTTTGAAGCGCGATTACGCACTCTAAAAACTGGGGGCTATTGTTGTGCGGGAAATCCGGAGATGATAATTTCTTATTAGGAGAGAAGATATTTAGATTGACTCAATTTGGAAGGGAAATATTCAAATTGACTTAGATTCCAACTAAGATAGCCGAAGATCATGCAACTTCCTAATTTTACGTATTTGAATTTTACCTCAACTCTATCATGTAAATGGGTGCTATATAAACCCATCACAACTTATTTTATGGGGAGGCGGGCAATTATTTTAGGAAAAAATTCATCATTTGTAATTCTCATTCAATAAAAGAAACAGTGGACGTATGCTCAAAATTCAAACTTGTCGAACCACTTTAAAAATTGCCTCATGTCATTACTTGTATTTTCTCTTTAATTATTTAATTGCCGATTTTCATTAAATCACACGCACATCCATTCTGGTTCCGACACGGTCAATTGAAATTCTTTAGGTGGTGCAGATTTCTGTATCAACAGTTATAATTAAGATAAGAGTAATACTAGATGTACAAATCCTTTGTACAAATTGATGTGTTATTTATTAAAAAAAAAAAATTCAATTTAGTAAATGCCCAATTAATAGATGCATGATTTGTGCTATGTATGCTTAGTTTATATATTCAACATCGCTGTTAAATAAACCAAAGGTCATATATATTCAGATCAATGGAAACTGATCTTTTTGAGGTTTAGAGTTGATAGTAATGTGGAGTCTGGATTGGCAACAGTGAAAGATTGGAAGAATATTTTAAACACAGATTTATTAGCGTTAAGCTGGGTTAAGCCTATTTTAACCTTTCTGAATTTCAGGGGTATTAAAATCCTAGAATAACTCAAACTGTCGACCTGAGATCCGAGAAACTCCGAATCCTATCCATTCTCTGTTTATTTGTCTCTTTGTTGATTCTTGTATACTTGAATACTGGTCTATTTATTCACACTACACTTCACAGCTTCAGTTTTATTTGCTGAATACACGTGGAACTCTGAATCCTACTCATTCTCGTACCTAGTCTGTTATTTATTCCCATCATATCTTTCCGTCCTCAGAAAGACCGCTGCGATATTTACGTGATCGAGAATTCAGTGATATTTGTATGAACAAGAATTCCGGCATTTCTTTTTGGTAACCTCCATCTGAATGATGCTTTTGTTTTGATTTGATGAATTTTTTTTCAATTGTAATTATCCTGCAACTTACAAGATTGGGAAGAGGTGAGTGATGACACTTAGTTTTAATATAGTAAGATGAAGTAGTTTCTGCCTGGAAGTTTAATGCTGATAGGTTTCCAAAACTGGAGATTTCGATTTTACGTATTAGATGGTGTTTTGGTTTATTCCAAATTTATTACTTACCTAAATTATTGTTATTATCTCTGGTTGGGGGTTATCTTCCTCCTCATTTGTTGTTTTTCTGCTTTATATACTAAAAAATCATTTTTCATCATCTATCCAGTCCTTATCCTTCAGGGTTAGCAATTACTTTGTGAAGAATGGCGGCAAGTGCATGTCCTGCCGCCATGAAGCCTACCTCTAATGGGGTTTTCCAGGGTGATAATCCTCTTGAATTTGCGCTTCCTCTCGCCATCCTACAGATTTGCCTTGTGGTTTTGCTCACTCGTCTTCTCGCTGTTGTATTAAAGCCCCTAAGACAACCTCGCGTCATCGCAGAGATTATTGTAAGTTATATGTATTTTTTTTCTGCATCAGACTAAATTTTTTAGATTTTTTTTCTTATGTGTATTACTTTTATCTTTTTTACAGGGAGGAATAATACTTGGGCCATCAGCTTTGGGCAGGAACAAATACTATATGAATGCAGTTTTTCCGACAAGAAGTCTAACTGTGTTGGATACTTTAGCCAACATTGGTCTCGTCTTCTTTTTGTTCCTGGTAGGCATAGAGTTAGATCCAAAGGCCCTGCGTCGGACTGGTAAGAAGGCTCTTAGCATAGCCGTCGGAGGAGTTAGCGTACCTTTTGCTTTAGGAATAGGAACCTCATATGCCCTCCGTGCAACTGTCTCTAAAGGTGTAGATGGGGGTGCATTCCTTCTATTCATGGGGGTGGCTTTTTCTATTACTGCATTTCCTGTCTTGGCCCGTATTTTAGCTGAACTCAAGCTTTTAACTACCGATGTTGGGCGAATGGCAATGTCAGCTGCGGCTATAAATGATGTGGCTGCTTGGATTCTTCTTGCTCTTGCCATTTGCCTTTCTGGAACAGGGCAGTCTCCCCTTGTATCACTGTGGGTTTTACTGTCTGGATGTGGTTTTGTCTTTTTCTGCATATTGATTGTCCCGCGTATATTTGAATGGATGCAGAAGCGCTGTCCAGATGGTGAGCCAGTGAAAGAAATATATGTATGTGCTACTTTGTTAATTGTTTTGGTAGGTGCATTTGCGACGGATGCTATTGGAATTCATGCCCTCTTTGGTGCATTCATTGTTGGAGTTTTGGTCCCAAAAGGACCATTTGCTGGTGCTCTTGTAGAAAAGATTGAGGATCTTGTATCAGGTCTTTTCCTACCATTGTTCTTTGTCTCAAGCGGATTAAAGACTGATATAGCCACAATCCGAGGGCTTCAGTCTTGGGGGTTTCTCGCTTTGGTTATAGCTACAGCATGTTTAGGAAAAATTGTTGGCACTGTTGCTGTCTCTCTCCTTTGCAAAATGCATTTCAAGGAGGCTCTTGCTTTGGGGTTCCTAATGAATACTAAAGGCTTGGTGGAACTCATTGTCCTCAACATTGGAAAAGACAGAAAGGTAAATTGCTTTTTAGTCCTTGAGAATGAGTGCTGTTAATTACATTTCTACGCTTTTGTGTCACATATTTCTTTTGGTTTCTGGATTTAATTGTTTTATCCGATTAATGTTTCAGGTATTGAATGATCAAACATTTGCAATCATGGTTCTCATGGCCATCTTCACAACCTTTATCACCACACCTTTGGTCATGGCTGTCTATGAGCCTAATAAAAGAACAAGTAATGGCATTTACAAGCATAGAACTATTAAGAGAAAAGATCCAAATCATCAGCTCCGGATTTTGGCCTGTTTCTATAGTGCAAGAAATCTTCCTACAATGATTAATCTGATTGAGGCTTCGCGTGGAACTGAAAAGAAGGAAGGACTCTGTGTATATGCAATGCACCTCATGGAGCTCTCCGAAAGGTCATCAGCAATACTTATGGTCCATAAGGCAAGAAACAACGGAATACCCATTTGGAACAAAGGGAGACACTCGGATTCCGATCAAGTTGTTGTTGCTTTCGAGGCTTTCAGACAACTGAGCCATGTCACTATCCGTCCAATGACCGCAATCTCACCAATGCATGATATGCACGAAGACATCTGTGGTAGTGCTGAAAGGAAACGGGCTGCAATGATAATTCTCCCATTTCACAAGCACCAGAGGTTCGATGGAGTGCTGGAGAATACTCGAAACGATTTTCATTCCGTCAACAAGAAGGTTCTTGAGAATGCACAATGCTCAGTTGGGATCTTAGTAGACCGTGGGCTTGGTGGAAACACACATGTATCTGCCAGCGATGTTTCTTCCATTGTAACAGTCCTTTACTTTGGAGGGAATGATGATGCAGAAGCCCTCGCATATGGTGTACGCATGGCTGAACACCCTGGTATCAGTGTTAATATTATTCGCTTCCTCGCAAGCTCTGGCATTTCAGGGGAGATTGTTGGAGCTGATGTGAAAGATCACCATTCGAGCAGTGCAGATGAAAACTTTCTTGATGAGATGAGGCGAAAGTATTCAAGTTTGGAGTCATTTAAGATGGAAGTGAGGGTAGTAAGAAACAATACAGAAACTGTTGATGCAATCAAGGAGTATAATCGGTGCCACATGTTTTTGGTTGGTCGAATGCCTGAGGGTCCGGTAGCAGCAGCCATGGATATAAAGAGTGATTGTCCGGAACTGGGGCCGGTAGGCAGCATGCTGATTTCACCTGATTTTTCAACTTCAGCGTCAGTGTTGGTGGTGCAACAATATACTGGTGGTGGAATGTCTCCCATAGCAGGATCTTCAGATCAAGATACAGAATCTAGCTGATGATGATGAAATTTTTACTCGGTCATTACTGTAGCTAATTTTCTTTTCTTTTTTCAGTTTGTTGGATTTTTTTAAATAAATAAAAGTAGCAGAAATTTCAGCCTAAACAACGGTGTCGTTTTAGTTGGTGGTGTAACTTAACTGCCTAGGCTCTTTCACACTAAATAAACCAGCCATTCACTAAAACTAGAAGATAATGAAATACTACCGATTTTAAGCGGTCGGTATTGGTACGAAACCTTCACAGTTCACTTCCCTCTTTCCAGTTCCTTAGGGTTTCAAAATCAGACTCAAAATGCTTCATCTCTACTGCAATCTCCACCGTCCATCTTCTCCTCTGCTCCTTCCTCTCCAACAACAATTTTTCCCTACTCCCTCTCCTATCGAGTACGCAATCTTCCTCTCTTCATTTTAACTTGTTTTAATCTTTCTAGCGTTTCATTTAACCTTTTTTTTTTTTAATTATTTAACAGCCGAGTGAAGTTCAATTTAAATGAAGGTTTTGTAAAGATTACAAAGATTTCGATAGCGGTAAGCAGCAAGAAGAGTGAAAGGAGTAGTGGAGAAGGTTTTTGAGCGGTGAGAAATGGGTCCATGAAGGGTTCATTACAGAGTCACTTCCCAATGGTATGTTTCGAGTTCGTTTAGATAATGAAGACTTGATTCTTGGTTTATTTCGGGAAAGATTAGGCAGAATTTTGTTCGTGTATTACCGGGAGATAGAGTCAAGGTTGAAGTAAGTCGTTATGATCCAAGCAAGGGTCGAATAATATAGAATTCGCAACCGAAGTTCCAACGGTTAGTTGTTGCTTAATCTTGATTGTAATTTTTGTATTTAAATTAATTGTCATGAAAATTCATAAAGCTTATCTTATTGTGGTTTTTTTTTTTTTTTTTTTTAATTATATTTGTTTAGTTGGTTTCCTGATTGGAGCTGCCAAAGATAATTTTTGTGCTAAATGTTATTCTGAGTTCTCTTGTAAATCCATTTGGTGGTTCTCTTTCTCTTGTTCTGAGTCTTTGACACCTCTGTGCTGCCAGTTGAATGTTTTTAACGGAGGATGGTTATGTTTTACTCAAGGGCTTGAGGCACATCAGTTGAGGGGATACATATTTTCCTTTACATTTGAAGAAGTATTGGTTGTTTGTTTCAATCTAGCGTCTTTTTTTTCAATAATATTAGATGTACAAAGAAATTTTACAAAGATTTATGTACAAATGAGTGATGTGCAAGAAATGAATGGAAGAGTAAAATGATGAGTTTGACTTTTGTGTTCACTCTTCTATTCATTTCTTGCCACATCACTTTGTACATAAATCTTTGTAAGATTTCTTTGTATGTAGTATTACTTTTTATGCCCAAGGTATAAGTATTCTTGAATTAACTCGCCTGCCAGTGGACTACTTGCTGCCTCATCTCTTCTCCTCTTGTTGACACTTCAGTTCGAAGGAAATTGATATAGTTTGTTGGTCATGAACATGGTATGGATTGATAGATGTTTGTTTTATCTTCTTTTCGAGAGGAAAAACGATAGTTGGATGCTGATGGGGAAGATTTCTAATGAGGTTGGGAGCAAGTCATTTTTATGATTCTATTTACTGGAATTTTACAGGAAGCTGTCCATTGACACTCTAGGAATGGTGCTTATGGAAGGAACGTCATTTTCTCCTTTTGTTTTATATTTTTGCAGGTCCAACATTTTGTTGCAAGAACTTCTTTCTCCTATTGTTTATAAACTTGTAAAACTTGTTTATAGATTATGAGAAAAAGTTTGGAGGGTTTGTGGGGCACTCGTTAACTGTAGTACATTCTGTGTATTTACTTTCTGCTTATCAGTTTCCAATAGTAATTTAGCAATAGAATTAGGTGGTAAGCTTCTGTACTTGTTAACTGTAGCTTGAAGATTAGCAATAGAATTAGATGGTACCTTTGGGGACTATGAAACTATTGGAATGCATGCACCGGAGCTAGGGATTGGTGTTGTTACCACTTTTATCAAATTTTAGATTTAGATTATTGTGAGAAAACACTTCGTTTGGTGGAGATAGCTATTTTATTCCAAACCACACAAATTCGGCATATAATGCGTTGAGGAAGACCTCTGCAGTTAATAACTAGATCTAAACTCAATGTCAATTGGAGGTGGTGAATTGGCTTTAAAACTATCAAATGCAACTTTACACACCCTGACAGAAGTTCTGTACCTTGAGTTGCATAGTCCTTAGGTGATATGTTACTAATATGGTACCTTGTCTATTATATTCGGGTTATGTCGTGCTCAAACAGGTAATTCATCAACCTAGCAAGGCTAAATTCTGATATCTCTGTTTATGCGAAAACTCTGACATAAATTGCTAACTTGAGTATTGAATTCTTCTAGAGGTGTATAAGTTATCAATAGTTTCAACTTGGTAGAATGCGATTAGGCCAGAGTCTATCGCTGTCTTGGTAAACCAGCTATGTGTAATCCTGCCATGTCACTTGATGAATAGTTTAACCACCACTGTCTTAAGCTCTAATGCTCATCTGAAACCACAAAGTTGTTGAGTATGCTAACAATTATCATTAACCAATGATAGCTTAACTGATCGTACTAATCAATCTATATATCACTGAAGACATGCTCTCTTTTTGCTATAATTTTTTATTTGGATGTACCATTTTAGAATGATAACGCATTGTCTGTCCTTCTCACTTTTTACATTAGAAATAGTGCTAGATATAAGGAGCAGTTAAAATGACTGTATATAACTAAACGAAGATGGTTGCATGATACCAAAGCAGAGAAGGGTTTGTAGGCAAAATTGTGTTTGATTCTCCTACTCTTTGTATGTCAACTGTATGGCTTCGAAGGTTATTGCAGCATCTGCTATGGCTGCAGCTCCAAATTAACGCATTTAATGAGTTTGCTTGTTTTATAACATAATCCAAACATGTGGTTCATTGAAAGACTATAATTTCTTCGGCCGGCTTGAAATTAATCTGAGCCATTTTTAGTGGACCAGCTTTATGTAAGCTTTGCACTTCATTGAATTAAAAGTTGTAACTGCTCGTGTCCGAAGCTTTACTACTTGTTCTGATAGAGTACAAGAGTCGTTGTGTATTTATCATTTTTTACTGGAAAAAAAATATTAGCGACGGATTGAGCTCTCCAATGAACGTATATAAGCTGAAGAAGGAAACACTATCAATCCACACTTGCCATGAGAGAGGTTGCTGTGAAATTCTGTATCATTTTGTTGCTCCTGATCTCTCCATCAGTTTCGGCTTCCAAGAAAAAACATAAATATCACAAACCTTGCAAACAGTTTGTGCCTATTACCATGACATTCTCTTTGGTGGAATTGTGGCATGATCCAGTTATTCAACGTCTGCAGCATCACTGTAACCAGTTAGGCAACTTCAACTTTGGAATTTAGTTTTTTTTGATGATCCTATGACTAAAGACAATCGTCTGCTATCACGTCCGGTTGCACGAGCTCAAGGGTTCTATTTCTATGATATAAGACTGATTATGATGCTTGGTTCGCTTACACTTTGGTTTTCAACTCGAGCGAGCTAAAGGTACTCTAAGTATACTGGGTGCAGATACGATGATGGAGAAGACGAGGGATCTTTCAGTAGTTGGAGGGACAGGAGTTTTCATGGCGAGAGGGATTGCAACATTTGAGACTGATACTTACCGGGCAATGGATACTTCCGCCTCAGATGGATATTAAGTGTTATGAGTTTTTACTAGAATATTTACCACCATCACCAGTAAGTTTGATATGTTTTCTGTGTAATATGTTATGTGCTTTGCTTCTTGCTACTCTTAATTTGCCAAGGAAGAAGGAATTTATGTATTGCTACACATCTATAATGAAAGGACAATGATACATCCACACCCTTTTCTCACAATTTCGATATAACATTTCGTAATTAATCAGTTTGTAATAAGTCTTATTTTGTCCCACTTAATAAATTACGATTGACTAATTACGTCACATAATTTCATTATAATCTTACATAAAATTACCATAATTTCATTATAATATATTTATAATAATTATTACTAATAATCAAAATCATCATCATTCCCTAGGCCTTCAAATTTGGGGGCCACACGGCTTGACAAGCACGAATTCTTTTGACTTGGCACGCATGGGATCCGACGGTCTTGAATTTTTAACATAACATGGTATAATCGCTCCAACTCTGATAAATCATTGAAGACTTTTTTTTTATTAAGATTTTTCAATATTTAAATGATTATTTTTTCATTTTGAGAAATACGTAATATATAAATTTTTTGTTCTTTATAATAATTCAGCTCCAAAATATAAACTAAAAAGAAAGATCCAATTAAAAATAAAAGTAAAATAAGAAGAAAAAAGATTTAAATTAATTGCCTTTAGGCTTTAGCCGTTTCTCTTTAAGTTTCAGCTGCTTCTTTTCACCAAACCGAACAAATAAAATATGCAAGTATTTGACTTGAAAGAAACAGATCTGCACAAGAACTTGAATGCTAAGGAACCATGTTAAAGAATCCTCCAATTGAGTAACAACAAGAATCCAAAAAGGATCTAATATGGATATTAAACTGAGAGCAACTCAGAATATGATTCCAGAAACCACAACGTTTTTTCGGGGGATCAATTCAAAACTGTGAGAAGTCTGTCACTACATAGGCAACATCCGAATGGCTTGGATCTGCAACTACAAACTGCATAAGACTTGCATCTATGTTGTTGGTAAAATGAAGTCCTGATAAGAAAAACTTGAAATTGAAATTGGATCTGCGGTTCAGAGTATTTATGAATTTGTTGGTGTCAGGGCCCGCTTAAGCGGTAGCCAGGTGAGGCCCTGCTTAGGGCCCCAAAAAAATGGAGGCCCAACTTTTTTATAATTTTTTTTTTTAATATCTTATAAAATGAAAATAGTTTATAATTTCTTATCTAAGTCAAGGGGCCCAAAAAAAAAAAAAAAGCCAAAAAACTCAAATTATTATAAACTTTTT